ACAGAAATTATCAAGGGAGAAATGGGGAAAATGAGGACACTCTAAATAGGGAGGGTAGGGAGAAAGGATAAGACAGGGAAAGAGGAGAGATAAATAGCGCCTAGCTAGTATGAAAAAAAAAAAAAAACAGAGGGAATTGTATTAGTCCAAAAACATACTGAAAATTACACATACAATATCTCTACATGAGTCCATGAGTGTAGCTGAAGACTGCATAACAAGAAACAGTGCCAGACAGGAGAAACTTTCCTTTGAGTTGTTGGTCAGGGTGGTCCAAGAGACTCCCAAAATTATACAGTCTATTGCCACAGTCCTTGATTGCCTCCCAGGACTGGATGGTAAGACCCTATTGCTGAAGACAGGACATACTCTAGACACAGGATTTGGAGCAATGGAGCTGGAAATGACCTAGAAGCCACCTCCCCTGAAGGCTAGCTCTTATAGCTTTGGCAAGCACTACCCAAGCTGCTAAGGGAGAGCATATATTGGTGGTCCAATCCCAGCTTCGAGGCCTAAAAACCACATCCATGACCAGCACAGCAAATGACATTGCTGCAGTAGTGGCACTTTTATTTTATCTTGGGGGTAATCAACAAGCTACCTAGTTGGACTTAAAACCCACTCAATGGGAGGACACTCAGGTGTGGAACTGTAAACCTAGCCAAATACACACAGCTGGAAAAGTCATAGATCTTAGAGAAAACTCCAAGGCTGTCACATACATAGACAAATGTAATTTCTTACTATGTGCAAAATATGCATCCTTAAATGTATAGACAAATATCCCAGTCACCACCCATCAAAGAAGCTTCTTTTTCAAGAGACAGATAAATACAGAGTTCCACAACTGGTCACACACAGAGATTGTCTGTGCATTGCCCAAGTCTAAGTGGTACATCTAGGACATGGACTCTACACCTAAGGCTCATGGAACATAGAAGAGAGGATGAAGAGAAAACTAATGCTTCTTTCAGCTCTCATCAATGAAGCTCCCTCATGCAACAGAGGGCCAGGAATGCAAAAGGTCACAAATGGCCAAAATGCAGAGATTAAGAGTCTGCAGAGTGTGGGTCCTTGGACAGGACTCCTATATTAAAATCCACCCATCCACCCAGGGCTCAGGGACCACTGAGGAAGAAGGGGCAGAAAGACCATAAGAGCCAGGGAGGAGGTGCATGACCACACGGAAATAGGCCTACAGGCCCCTGGGACCCTTCTCATATAAACCTACAGCAATGGTGTCAACATGCATAAGACCCATGCAACCTTAAGCAGACAAAAACCCAGCACAGAACTGTGGACATGAACAGCAGGCCCCAGTCTTAGTTGAAGAATTATTGGTAACTGATTACTGTTGGGTGAGAAAGAGCTGATCTTCTTAAAGGAAAGAGCTCTACATAGACTGACTAGATCCCAGTGGATGAACTTGCACTGAGGGACATCTGGGGAAACTAACTTTACCTGGTAGGCCTTAACATGAATGACAGAATGTATAAACTCCAGTGTATGTGGGGGGGGGTATGAAAGGGGCAGGGGATATAAAGGCGATTTCTTATTTTGAAATAAACAAAAATTCAATTAAAATTTTAAAAAAATTAAAAATAAAATACAGAACATAAGTAGATCTAAAAACTAAATATCAAAAAATCGCAAGATCAATAAATGAGATGATGAAATAAACAGTTCTCAAAAGCCTAAATACAAATGGACAATAAACATGAAAAAATGTTTAACATCATTAGCAAACAGGGAAATGCAAAACTGCACTAAGACTCTATCTCAGTCTGGTCAGAACGACTATCATAAAGGAAGAAAAATAACAACAAATGCTGGTAAGGATGTGGGAAAAGGGGAGTTTTTATAAATTTCTGGCAGAAATATAAATTTGTTCAGTCACCTCACTATAGAAAGCAGCATGGATCATCCTTAAAAAAAAAAAAAAAACAACTAAACTAAAAATAGAAGTACCATATGCCACAGCGATACCATTTCTAGTTACATACACAAAAATCAATATACCACAGAGGGAAATAATATTGTTTATGCTCTAATATTATTTTTATATTCTATATATTCTTATGGTGCTTATATTTAAAGGCCATAAATCACTCTTTGCATTCCAGTTTCAAAACTAAACTTTTTTTCCATTGACAGGATTGATAATGAATTTGGGCATTTTGAAGTCTTGATTCTAAGAACCGAACAACTGAGAATAGAAACTGGAAATACAATAGATAAAGCTCCAGGGCTGAAATTGTTTAATGTGTGAATTCTAATTGGAAAAAAATCCTACTCAGGAAGAAATGTCAGAAGCATACTTGAGTTCAGAAAGCAAGAAACACGAGACTCCTCAAGTCAGAAGGGCACTGTGTCCTTCATGCTTTACAGAACTGTTTCCCAGTACAAATCACTTCATCTTCTCAACTAAAGCATCCCAGACACATTCTTTAACCATGAATTCACAAACTTGACTTGGAGCATGACCTGAGGATCTGTAACCTTTTGAGTGAGTGTAGGAAGAGGGAAAAAGACAGTTGTGTCAACCTGGGATTGCTGAAGGCATCAACAGAGCGGAACAGGGGTGCTTTGGTTTTCTTGGTCTTTGTACCTGGTTGCGTAGTGGGTCATTGTTGAGAAATATTTCCTTACCTGATATTCTGATATCTGGAGAACTCCAGGGCTGCAGTACAACTCTGCTGCTAAGCGTTAAGTGCATGAGGTTCTGTCCTGTTGGAATAAGAAAGTCTTCAGAAGCAGTGGGCTGCCAGCCCTTTCAATAATGCTGCCATCTTGTGACACTTTGGAGTTACAACAAGAAGCTCCTGGAAGGGTCATATGGTTCACCTCAAGATGGCTGGCTGGACTCCAGTAAAATCTATTCCTATAACTCCCTAATTCATATTGAATCATTCCTGTGGGCACAGGGTAAACTATAGTGAACTCTGCGGAAATAGTGTTGCTTTTAGAATTTGTGGACTTCCCTCCATTAAATTCAAAACATGACAAGCTTATATGGGTAATGTGCTTATAGGTCAAAACAGTTTTTTAAAAGCAGAAATAGGAAGCCTATTTTACAACTTCATAACCTGTGTGATTTATATTTTATAGATATAGGTGCTATTTTAGCAAAATGTGTGCCGATGACACAATTTTCAATCAAATATCAATTCAAATCAATATCAATTCATTTGGAATACATTCATTAAGAGACAATAAAACCCTAAATGTTCAAGACTTATGTGCTAGACATACTAACCTCTATTTACCTGGAAATTACCTAACTTATATTTATATTAAAAGCGGTGTTTGATAAATAGGACTGACAGCTTGAAACTATGACAATAATGATATGACCTGCCTTTAATCTCAATTTATACGTGAAATTTACAACAGAGATATAAGGTCGTAATAGTGTGTTCTCCATTTCATGAGGCAAAGGAAGATGGGAAGCAATTCCAAAACAATAGCAAATATTTAAAACAGATTCAGGACTCTGCTTCACCCATAATTTTCACTCATTTGAATACCTTTTAACTACTTAGTAAGGTTTTGTTAATACAGATATCAAAATTTACTTTTCTTAAAAAGTAGTGAACTTTATATATGCTGAGAGACAAACTAGGAAAAAAATTCAGAAATATAAGCTATTCTCAAATTACTCTTTAATGTATACAGTTTAAAGATCTTACATCTTTTCCTGACTTAAAGACATTACAAATCATAATTACATGCCCCTGTACTTAGAGGCCCTCGCCTTTAATCCCAGAACACAGGAGGCAGAGGCAGGTAGATCTCCATCAGAGATCAAGGTCAGCCTGGTTTATACAGCAAGTTCCAGGCCAGCTGGGACTACACAAAGAACCTGTCTCAGAAAACAACAACAAAAATTTCAGTGATAGTTAACATACAAACCACTTAAAATAACAGAAACTTTACATTTAATATGTGGGAAGTACTGTTAACTTTACATATACTAATCTGTTGTCCAGTAACTAGCTAAGTGAGTCACCCAAGGTCACACAGGGCATTAGTGACAGTGTGACTGAAAGTCATAGTCAGTCTAGAAGCTTCACTGTCCATCAGGCAGTCCTGCTCCCATTCATAAACTGCTCTGCTTAGGAAACTTCTCATCTAGAGTAACTTACCCTTTTTCTATTTTCTATAGTTATATAATTTACACAGTCAGAATCAGTACAACAGTACAACAAAGATCCTTGTCTGTGAAAGGTCACTGAAGGTACAACTTAGTGGGCAGGAGTAGAATTTCAGTATCACCAGTGCTGTTTGTCTAAATGGCACACTGGTTGATGCATATTTGAAATGACAAATTGAGGTATTTTGATTCATTTTTATTTTTCACTTTATTTTTGTTGTTATTTGCTTACTTGCTTGTTTTGAAGCAGGTACTTATTCTGTACCCCAAACTGAACTGGAACACCCTATGTAACCCAGACTGGCCTCAAACTCATGGTGATCTTCCTATCTCAGCCTCCTGAGCACTGGAATTATAGGCATGAGCCACCACACCCCAGCAAAACTGTGCTATTGAGTAGTAAGGCAGAGAAGGAGGTTATCTGGAGTCTTTGCTGTAGAAACAATAGCTTCTTAATCTTTAAAGTTTGATAAGGACTAACACAGTTGCTACTATAACCTTTATTTGTAACTTAAACTAAAATAAAAATTCATCCTAGTTCATTTCATTTAAGACAATATTTTTCTACTAACTCAGAAACCATAAATAAAAATTTTATAAGAACTATTTACTCCTCTCTTCTTTATGGATCCCTGAATGTTCTTCCGGAAATCTAAATGCCAATCCCGTAAATGAGAAAGGTAGTTAATGATATTGTACATAAGTAATGTTTTAACTGTGGGAGTGTGTGTGTTTCCTTTTCTTTCTTTCTTTCTTTCTTTCTTTTTTTTTTTTTTTTTTAACCACAAAACCAGTGGGGGAAGTGTGGGAGCAGGTGGGCTGGGCAGTGGCAGAAACCTCATGACACATCACTCCGCCCCCTGTGTTGGTGGAGAATGTCTGGAACAGCATTTAAATTCTGGGAGGTCTGAGCTGTCAGCAGCAGGACAGAGTCAGGAGCTCAGCATCGTCCAGCTTTGCAGTCTCAGGCTGCAGCATTTGTGGGAGACTCCAGCCAAGGTAAGCCTGAGGTTGGCTACAATGACTGTACATTTACTTGGCTGAATTTTATGGGGAAGTCCAAGGTATAAAGATCATTTTAACTGTAATGCTGTTAGTTTGACTTACACTGTTGTAGTCTTTTTGAATAAGCAGGTCAGGTACATTGCAGGTCTCCTGGGTCAGAGGCTTCCAGGTATTTTCAAAGTCAGTCCGATATAAAAGTTAAAAATAAATCTGGCTAGTCTGCAAAAGGACAGAAACTATTGCTTCCAATTACACAGTAAAGCTCAATGTTTCATTGGAATTATTATTGCTGCATCATTTTAAAGTGGCTAGGTGATTATGGAGGTAATTAAAAGAAGCATCTTTTATGGTAATGTAATCAATACTGTTATCTTTAATAAACTAACTCATTTTTAAAGGGGGCCCTTTCTTCATATCTTATCTCTGCATTGGCTTTTAAAAATGTCACTAATAACTATATGATAGTACAAAGATTCATTACCATGCACAGAAAAGCAGCTGGCTGTTTGAAATATTCATTTCAAATTTCTGACTCTCTTACTTAAATGATTTCCAACACATCTTCATTTCCCCTAAGCACCACTTTGTTAATCATGCACGCTAAAAACCACATTTTAAATGTATATTGGAAGAATGGAGAAAGCAATTTTCTTTTACAGCACTATTTTTTCTTTTTGTTTTTTCTTCCCTGAAAAAACTTCTCCCACACTACTATTATTTTAATTGTCAAATTGCTATGGAGCTGATTTTAGGTGTAGATAGCTGCAGATGTCAGATAGTGATGGCATAAGCTCTGGAACTCTAAAAGTTGAATAAATATGGGGTCGTGAAATTCCCCTCTCCCTTGCAAAGAGTGAGAGATGGGGAGAAAGATGGCATGCAAATATTAACTCAAAAGCATACAGCACTGAAAAGTTTTCTCTAAGAGGTAGAAAAGATTGTGTAGAATACAATTTACTCTGGTTATTCTGTAATGCGGTAGTGTAAAGAGGATATTAAGTATTCTGTACAAAATATTTTGCAGAACAAACTACCACCATGAAGATCGCAGTGATTTGTTTTTGTCTTTTTGGCATTGCCTCCTCTCTCCCGGTGAGTACGGTTGAATCTTAGAGAAAATTCTTCAAAATACATGTGCTAAGAACACTTTCACACCATATTTTTTTCTTCACTTTTCCATTTTAAAGGTTAAACTGATTGATTCTGGCAGCTCTGAGGAAAAGCAGGTAAGAATTTTTTAGCTTTATCACATAACTGAAGAATTTATACAAGCATTGCAAAATTTACAACAAATATTGTTTTATTTGTTGCCATTATATTTGTCTTCATAATCAGACCTGTTAATTTGCAAGTGTTTATTGATTACTTACTATAGATCATACCAGTATCAAACAGGGTATAGTTTTTAATTAATAGGTTCTCTTAGACTTTTTAGCATAATACAATTATTCTCCAGACTGTTGTTACTTACATAAAATGTATTCTAGGATTTTGTGTGACCTTTTCTTTCATTGAATCAGCACTATGTTCTAGAAGCAGAAAATTCCATCCTTTGCTTTGCTTAATGAAAGACTGAGTTTAAAATTCACCTCAGATGTTGGCCAGAGCTGTTCGTAGGCCCATAATACTGACAATACCCCCTAAGATGCTTGTTAAGAAGCCCATTGTGAAATGAAAGTCTATTTATGCTGTTTGAATCTATTGTGCTCATCAGCTGACTTTAGATCACATTTTTCTAAACAAGAATAAAGCCAAACCAAAGTCTTCATTTATTATAATTGTTTGACCAGCAGCATCGACATACCTGCTCCTCTACAATAGATGAAACTATGCCAGCCAAACACAAATGGACCTTGTCCTAAGGAGTTTGGACAAAAAGGCACATAGAGTTCAGTTCCACATGAACAGAATAAAAGCCAATATAGATCTGCCTGGGGTCACTGCAGCTCCATTGCTTAATGAAGACAGTATGGATGTGTTAGTGTATTTCTGTGTGGGGTGTGATATTGCAAGGATGAATTTTTAGAAAGCGGGGAAGTTGTAACAGTATAGGTCATTAATGGTATTTAGGAGATAAGTGAAGAGCTCAAACTCCAGCTTTATAGAGTCCTAGAAATATAGATCCAGTAGAAAATATGTAAAAGGCTGTAAGCATATACCACTGAAGATGAACACTGGTTATCTGTGTTAGGATTACTGAGTATGTTTTAGCCTGTTGATTTCACTTATCTACATATTCTCCCCATTACTTTTCTAAAATATAAATTTAACTTGTAAGTGTGTTATTCTTGAGCCTTTATCACATGTGCTATATGAAAAAAGACATATATATATATATGAAAATTTTAACTCATCCAGTCCAGTAGTTTTACATCTGTGTAAAGCAAACAACTTCTTCCTTCAACAAAAGCTCTCTGAGAAACCAGCATGAAGCTGTCCTGTTTAGACCAGCTAAGTGCTCCCCACTGGTCCAGTTTCCTACTCACTCCTGCCTTGGGTGAGGTTGTCATTCATGACATGGCTGTGAGGTTACAGAGTATAATCAACACAGTTGATCACAGGACACGTATGCAGAGCAATTTTCACTCCTCTGCATTAGTGCATTATCATCGTCCAGATAAATTATTTTGCTAAAGAAAATGCTGTTCTGTTTCCACCTTGAACAGCTCAGAGAAGTAGAATTTTTATACAATGGTGTTAACATAGTATTTCTCGCTGTCTGATAACCATTAGACTCCTATGGTTGTTGAACACTCAAACATAGCTAGTGCAAATGGGGAATTGAGTTTTTATTTTTTTAATATTAACTTACATTTAAATAGCCACATGACTAAGAACGCCATCTTAGATAGCACAGTCTTAGAGAATTTCTCTTTGTTCCATGGAGAAGAAATAATGAAGTTCATAGCACTTAAGGGTACCTCTGCTTTAGAGTGTTTACCTGAGAGGAACTTTCATCCAGCAAAGGTAGGATAGGAAAGCACAAAGTGAGATGAGTGTTGACACCAGTGTGCCAGCCTTGAATGTTGCCTCTGCCACCTAGTACCACCTAACCACGTTGTGGCTGAGTTTCCTATTTGGAATTATCAGGGAAATAGTGGTCTACCTCATTAGGGATTGATGGGACCACATGAATATTTTTAAATTACTTTGAACTGGCCCATGGTAAGTTCTATTAAATGAATCAATAAGAAAAGTAAGCTATAAAAACAATCTCTGACATTTTGACTGTATGCATGCACATTGTGCTGTTCCATCGGGAATGGTAAAGTATAGCTGTTTTACAAGTTTAGCACTTGAAGATTCCCATATTTCTTTTTTAACAAGAAATGCACACTTTTTAAATAGCTTCACAGCAAACACCCAGATGCAGTGGCCACATGGCTGAAGCCTGACCCCTCTCAGAAACAGAATCTTCTAGCACCACAGGTAATTTTGTTTTTTTTAGTTTTTGAAGACTAAACAATGATAGACAGCTACCAATCAAGCCATTCAGCCTAGCCAGCAAGATCTTTCTCGCCTATCGGTAAATGGGTGCCTAGAATGCCAATGGATGTACCATGGCAGCTTCTCTCCGCTCTAAGCCATCCACTAAACAGGCTGAACAAATAAGACCTGCTTTAGCTTGAAAAGACTAATTTTTGAAAACAGATGAGCATGTATGATGTATGCCAGTATGTGCCCTTCCTTTTACAGAATGCAGTGTCCTCTGAAGAAACTGATGACTTTAAACAAGAGGTAAGTTCTCGTGTTCATTGAGAACCATTGTTGGAGAGCTGAAGGAAGCCATTCCATCATTCCCTTCAGATGCAGTTCCATTAGCAAGTGTTCTAGGCAATCCCCATTTAAACACTTGCTCAGAAAGGAAGCAGGCATTTATTAAACATCAAAAATACAAAGGTTCTTCAGATAAGTTTCGTGTTGTAGAAAATGTCTCATCCCTGTTGCTTGAAACTTTAAGCATCTTGCAACGTACTTAGGGTATCTAATATCTGACAAGTATACCATTAATGCCTTAGCCAAGCCAAAATTTGTTTGACCTTAGAATGCTTCTCCTGTTAGCATAAGAGTTTATTTGATAAGTGGTCTTTCTTATTTGCTGAGCGAGCAAATAAATATTTTTAAGATTCAATCTGAATATCTAATAAGGAAAACTAGATAAAGGAGCCATTTATTTGCTGATTTGAAGTTTAATAGATCTTAACTCCTAAATCAATGGATGGATTTGCACTACAGTTTGTATACCCATGCATAACAGAGTCAGCTCTTGACTATCTATGATAATAGGGAAGGAATTATAGATTAGATCTATACATTAAAATTTAGATGATTTGATATCTTGAAAACATATTTCATAGGAAAAAATCAATCTTACTGTTGTCTATTACATAATTGAATTTAGCAAGCTAAATAAGGTTTACTATATACAAGAGAAAATGTTATCAAAGCTTGACTCATAAATATCTAAGAAAATGGGTTTTTTCCATTGGAAAACCAGAAAAGTGCCTCAGAATGTCATTTCATTTATCCCTGTGTTAAATGGACAATTAAAAGCTGTCCACTTCAGTACATAAATCCATGGAGTATATTGCAAATGCAAAGATCTTGAAAGTAAATAAAGTTTTTTTAAGTGCAGTATTAAACCCAAGCACTAATTTGTTGAGTCATCTTGATCTGTAATTTAGACTCTCCCAAGTAACTCCAACGAAAGTCATGACCACATGGATGATGATGATGATGACGACAGAGACCACGTGGATAGCCAGGATTCTGTTGACTCAGATGACACTGATGATGCTGATGATCCTGATGATTCTCACCATTCTGATGAGTCTCACCACTCTGACGAATCTGATGAACTCTTCACTGATACTCCCACTGATATTCCACAAACAGAAGTTTTCACTCCAGTTGTTCCTACAGTATACACCGTTGATGCTCGAGGTGATAGTTTGGCTTATGGACTACGGTCAAAGTCTAGGAAGATCCACATTTCTGATATCCAGGTAAATCCCTTGTCTGACACATCAAATGGTTGTGATGAGCTTACCTCAAGGAAACCAGAGTATGCATAGTCATTAATTGTTCAGCAATAAACATCCATTTTTGTAGTCTACATTATGACCTATGAATACAAAGTTTTCCTATGTGATGGTCTTAGTTTAACTTTGTATAATATATAAATATATACTTAATTTTGTCTCACGCACAATTTCATTTTTCCAAATACAGGCTCTAAGAAATATATTATAACCACTCATTTTAGTTCAAAAACTACTTCAGAAAACAGCAATTATTTGTGAAATATAGTGGTCATATTTCACAGCTAAGTGCCTAAATTATACAGTCACAATTAGAATAAGTTTAGTCAAAGGATCTAGACTTGACCTACACTTGACATTTACTATTCACTTTGCAATTTAACTTTCAATTTCTCTGACCATAGATCTGAGATAATGAGACCGCCTTATAGGTTTCATTACTTACATCAGTGATGTACTTGTTGAACTAGATGTGACTTACATGAAATTTACTGATAAACTAAGAAGTACTTGCTAGCATCTTTTTATTTCAGTCAAAGTTTAAAAAATATTTACTATGATTTGGTCAAAAAGTTAGAGATCAAAAAAAGAATTATAATGTTCTCATCCCTGGCTGTTTGTATAATTCTTCAATTTATGTTTGGTTCAGTATCCTGATGCTACACATGAAGATCTCACCTCACACATGGAAAGCAAGGATTTGGATGATTTACTCAAGGCCGTCCCTGTGGCACAGTCTCTGAATGTGCCCTCTGATTGGGACAGTCATGAATCAAGTCAGCTGGATGAACCGAGTGTAGAATCCCACAGCCACGAGCAACCCAGAGAGGGTAAACAGAAGGCCAGTCATGAGAGCTCTGAGCATGCTGATGTGATTGACAACAGGGAAAATTCCAAAGCCAGCCAGGAATCTCACAGCCATGAGTTTCACAGCCATGAAGACAAGCTAGTCCTAGATCCTAAGAGTAAGGAGGATGATAAATATCTGAAATTTCGTATTTCTCATGAATTAGATAGTGCATCTTCAGAGGTCAATTAAAAGGAGCCTCTTACTTTGCTTTAGTAAAAAAGAAAAGAGAAAGAAAGAAAGAAAGAAAGAAAGAAAGAAAGAAAGAAAGAAAGAAAGAAAAAGAAAACAGTTAAACAAGAATGTGAAATGCTTACTTCTCAGTTTAGCGAGTGGACGTACGTGTGTGGAGAAGGATAATGCTTAATGTTTTTGGTCATTAGCTTAGTTTGTTGCTTCATAGAAACACTCCTGTACCCTAAAAGCTTCCACACTTTGTCCTTGCCATAGAAGAAATACAAACTGCCGCTGCATTTTAATGATTGTTATTCTTTTCAATAAAAATGTATGCGAAACAAGCAAGATGCTTTTACATAATTAAAAGAGAAACTATAACATTCTCTGTCACTATAATCCCTTGTTTTTTAAATCAGTGTATATTTTGTTGTGATTATTTTTGTTGATGTGAATAAATCTTATATCTTGAATGTAACAAGAGTCTGGTGGTATTATTTCTTACTTGGTTTCCCAGAATATTTTTTCAGTTACTAAAATGTAACCATTTCAATGAACTTGCTTGACCTAAGAGCAATTTAAGGTCTTCAGGAGCAATGGAACAAGGTTACCTGGGAGTTAGCAGTCAGAACCCCTCCAGATGCACAAGGCCCTCCCAGGAGTCTTCTTGTCTAATTATAACAAGGCTAATGCAGAAGCCAATGAAAGACAGCATCAAAGTTTTGTTTTTAAGTTTTCATCATTCTCCATTAAATTGTGCAGTAAAGTTACTGCTTTCTTGACCTTTCTGGAACCTTATGTTGGCTTTCTAGGTATCCTAATCATTCTTAGATAAGAAGCAAAGAAAAAAATCCTGTTGTAATTTTGAATGGTATTTTGGGTGATAACCAAATTTCTCAGTGTTATTAAAATCTAAAGTTTCAGGGAGCACAAGCTTCTTCCTCTTTCTCTTCAACTATTTTTTATTTGTTCACTTGTTTTAGACAGGGTGTCACTATGAAGCCTCGGGTAGCTTGGAACTTGCAGAGATCCTTCTGCCTCTGTCGCCTGAGTGCTGGGGATTAAAGGCATGCGTCACCACACCCAAACTCTTCTCTATTCTTTTAAAAATATTTTTTTATTTTTAATATTTCAAAAGACATATTTTACATATTTTATATGCGCTTGAGTGTATCGTCTGAATGTGTTTAAGCGCATCACGGGGGTCAGAAGAGGACATTGTATTCTCCTGGAACTGGAGTTACAGTTGTCAGCTGCCCTATGGGTGCTGGGACTCGATCCCAGGTCCTCTGCAAGAGCAGCCAGTGTTTTTAACTGCTGAGCCATCTCTCCAGCCCAGCTTCTTGATATTCTACATAGAAATTTTAAACTATTCTATATCCCTAAAACAAAGGCAGGAGACTTAAAATTCATGAATTAAAAATAAAATACTAGGTGGTGGGCTGCAGCCCTGGAGGCGCATCCCAACCGTTCCCAGGGTGGTTCAAACTGGTGAGGTTGGCTCCTTTGCTTGGTGTGTCTGAGGCTTCCAAGCCGTGACCTGGGAGAGGGCCCCAGGCTTCTGAGCTTAGAGGAGTTGCACGGTAGCCGGGGTCTGGGGTTCTCTAACCCCAGCTACGACCTGGGTGGGAGCCAGAGATGTTGAATAGCTGTGAAGCAGAATCAGGACCTGATCTCAAACTGTCTGGGGAAGTCTTTGAAAGTAAACGGAAGCAAATTTGTGGAAACAAAAGGGAAAGAGGGTAGACACATTTTATCCACAAAACATCTCATTTAATTTCATGCCTCAACTTTTTCCAGTAAGAAATGGGATCTAGTTCATGAGACCACTATAATAAGCACAGTGAGGAAGAAAGTTTACTTGCAAAGGTCACTTCATTGAGACAGGAACTAAAGATAACAGAATGGAGTTTGCAGAATTTAGGGGAAGAGTTATCCAGTGTTAGACCAAGTGAAAATTCCCAGTATGTCTGCAGTCCAAGATTCTGGAAGATCTTTTTCAGCCTAGCCATCTGGGACATTCAAATTACCTCCTTATCAGAACATTTGTAAAACACCCAGAAACAGTGCTGCTGATTAAAAAAAAAAAAAAAAAGCCAAGAGGTAAGGCTATTATTTTTAAACCTGACTACTTAAAATAGTTTTTCTTTAAATGCCTCAGTCATGTTGCCATAGTCTTTTACTGTAGTGTTCAAGATGGAATAGAATTGTTCTTGTCTCTTAACAAGAGTATAGTTATATTTGTATCAGGCCCTGTAGTGCATGCCTTTGATCCCAGCACTTTGGAGGCAGAAGTAGGTGGATCTCTGTAGGAGGCTGGCCAGGGCTACATAGTTAGAACCCATCTCAAAAAAAAAAAAAAAAAAAAAAAAAAGTGTATCTAATACCAAAACAGCCTAGCCTAGCATCTTAATAATGCAGTAATCTGTAAGGGTATCAGGTGTTTCCCTCAAGTTCATACAGCTGACTGACTGCTGGGGTCACTGCCACTATGTAATATCAGGAGAAAGTGTCATACCGAGTGTAACTAACATTTGAGAGGAGATCAACCTTCAAAGTACTGATGTGATAATTTCCTACCATCACTAAGTTGCAAAATCATAACTTGAAGCTTCATAAGTTAGGAAACATCTGTGTGACAAAATTGAACCTGAAATGGATAGAAAACATAAGAAGACAAATTTCAGCTGAGGAAGGGGAAAATTATCAAAGAATGAGCTACTTTTCTTTAAGAACATGACCACTGGTTAGGTTCTCCATGCCCCAGTCGATTACCGCCTGCTTGTGTGCATATGGGAAGCACTAATTGGACTCAGTGGGAAAGAGAGAAAAAAAGGAGAGCTGGGACTTTGAGGCCAGCCTGGTTGGTGTACATAGTGAGTTTGAGGCCAGCCAGGGCCTCACTATGTAGTGAGAACCAGGCTCAAAAAGAAAGAAAGAAAGAGAGAGAGAGGAGAGAGAGAGAGAGAGAGAGAGAGAGAGAGAGAGAGAGAGAGAGAGAGAAAGGAAAGGAGAAAGAAAGGAGAGAGGGAGGGAGGGAGGGAAGAAGAGATAGAGGAAGAGAGAGAAAGATTGATTATAAAAGAAGGACATGAGGTTGGGAGGGAGAGGTGATGGGGGTTCTGAGAGTAGTTGTGAGGGTGAGGGGTAGATATGATCAAAATAAATTGTATACATGCATGAAATTTTCAAAAAATAAAAATTTCAATTTATAAATGAATTAATTATAAAATATAGCTCCAAACAATGTGACATAGGAATTGTATCAGGCTTTAGAAGAACAATCTTAGTGTTAACTTTTAGTAGGATAAAATGAAGGAAAACTCTTACATAACTTTTATTTGACAAGCATAACTTGACACTCAAAATGGTCAAGAGATTGTATGTACTCACCCATGCTCATAAATTTGCAAACCATTCTCATTCATTAATAAAAATGGAAAAAAAACAAAATAAAATACTAGCAAACAGAATCTAAAATCATATTGAGTCTACCATCACTGTGGGAAGTTTATTTCCGTTATACTTCAATATTAGTGAACTCATTCCTATAATTCACTCTATTTCTAGATGTAAGGAGAAAACTATTATATAATTAGATCTGTAGGTACTGAAAGGATGTTGGATTCTTTCTTGCTACAGAAATGAGAACAATCATTCCCAGTATCTGTCTATCTCAGTGGCTTACGACACCTAATCACTACTTTCCTCTTCCACCAGTCTGTGAGTTGACCAGGTAGTGATACTTCAGGCTACAGCTCAGAGTCAGGTCTGTTCCATATGTCTCTGTCTGGAGTCAGCAACTACTCAGGGTATGACTTTCTGATGGGAGAAGCAGAAACACAAGCAGAGTGAACAGAAACATGACATACTGAGCTCAGAACTGGCCTTCTGCCACTTTCAGTTAAATTCCGTTGTTCAGCACAAGTTGCCAGGTCAGTGCAACGTCCCTAGACAAGTAAAGTGTATGGCCTGAAGCAAATCATGATAAAGGAAAGGGAAAATAACTGAACTGGAAATGTCACGTAGCCTGTGACAAATTTCAACATCCATTCCTGATTCATTTGTTTGTTTGTTTGCTTGCTTGCTTGTTTGTTTTTGAGACAGGACTCCCTGTAGCCTCAGCTGTCCTCAAACTCAATATACAGATCAGGTTGACCTTAATCTCACAGAGATCTGCCTCTGGAGTACTGGGGTTGAAGATGTGGGCAACCACACCTGGCCCATTCCTGATTGTATATATAACATAAAATAAAATGACAGGATATTTCTTTAACATGATGAGATATTTTAAACTTCATTCTCCAAAACTAACATTATACTCAAGAAAGAAACATTAGCGACATTACCATTAAGATTAAAGCAAGTGGGGCTGGAGAGATGGCTCAATGATTAAGACCACTGGCTGCTCTTGCAGAGAACCGAGGTTCAATTCCCAGCAGCCACATGGCAACTAATAACTGTCAGTAACTCCAATTCCAGGGGATCCAAAGCCCTTTTCTGACCTCCACGGGCATTGCGTGACACAAGTACTCTTACACACATGCAGACAATACACTCGTACACATAAAATAAAAATAAAGATTAAAGGAAGTACATTCCCTTATCCCTACTATTTAACATTGTTTGGAGATATAAACTAATGCCAATAGGCATCCATATGCATAAAATTGTTAAAATATTAAATTATAACTCTACATAGAGGATATCATTTATTTGACAGACAAAGGATCAATATTGAAAATAACAATAAATTCTGTAAGACAGTATTTTAGGCAGCTATTTGGAAGAGAGATACATGCCCTTGTTATATAAACAAAATACCGAATAGGAAATATGCAAGAACTATATTAGGAAAACCATAAAAATAGTCCTGAAAACTAGAAAAAGATTTGAACAAATGGAAAGATAACATTTATTTTCATAAGATTTTTCAACACCATAAAATGTCAAATTTCCCCAAGTAATATATACATAAACATTATTTCAACAAAACATATGATTAGGCACTGAAGGGATGGCTCAGTCATTAAGAGCACTTAGTACTTTTGCAAAGGATGTGAGTTCTGTTCCCAGCACCTACATCATATGGCTCATAACCACCTGTAACTCCAGTTCCAGGGGACCTGACACCATCTTCTGGCCTTCATGGGTGCTGCATGCACATGATGCTCATAAACACACATGCACATAAAAAAATCTTCAAAAATATATAAATAAAACTAAATTTTTCCCTGGAGCTATGCCAGCTAATTCTGAAGTTTATGCAGAAAAACAAGCATATAAGAATATAAAGAAAAATTCTTAAGAAAATGACAGCAGAAAGGAAGAATCTATTCTAATATCCTCTCTAATTGAAGCATTGTGGTACTGACATATAAACAGATCCATGAAAGAAAGTAATAAGGCCAGAAATAAACCAAATACTTGTAGAAATTATGATAAAGTTGGTGTCTAAGACCACTTAGGGACAGATGG